TTATGAAAGAGGCAACTGCAAATTGCTCCCAACTCCTGATAGGGGGAAAAAAGTGTGCTTTTAGATTGGGATTACAACTCAGCTGACTGTCAGAGGAGTGTTATTTAAGAGACTCAATACTGATGAATGTCTGCACTTAACTTGCATCTCTGAAAAACAGGCTTCAGGAAAAGGACATGAATATGCTACTCTTGGCCAACATCTGCATGGATTGGGCCTATTGTCAGTATGAATTGCAGCATAAAGAAATATCTGTTCTATAAATCCACAAAGCCGGCTCATGCCATCTAACATCAGCCTACACATTTTCAGCAAGGAGTGGAGATACACGTTCAGATAATCTCTCCAGAATGAAGTGAAGCCTGATCCATAGGGATGAATGAGGCACCACCATCCTCAGCCTGCCCTCAGCCAGCTTCCACCTGCTGACTTCCTTACTTAAAACCTGCCCAGGAGCTGGCAGTGACTGCCATCCTCATTCTCTTCAATCTCAGTGTTGTCTTTGCAGAGCTCAGCAGGGAGGAGGATGGGAACAGAAGCAGCAGTAACTGGTTCTGCGTAATACTGGCTGTAGCCTTCCTGCCTTTTGCCCTACCAGTCCCAAAGCACACCAGTTTCCATTGTCAAAATGTATGCGAATTGCTGCTGCTTTCAAACCAGCATACTTAAACAGCAGTAGTGGACAACATGTGGGGCGGCAGTGATTGCTTGACCTCCAGTTGGTGTAACGCTGCTGAAAGGGAGGAAGGCCTGAGGTTGGTGCAGTGCAAGCATACCAGCAGGAGCTCCAGATTGGCTCTGCCAGCACATTTGCAAGCTGCCAACCTCACCGCCATCTCACCCCTTCCCTCTGTACATAATAATAATAATAATAATAATAATAATAATAATAATAATAATTTATTATTTATTTATACCCCACCCATCTGGCTGAGTTTCCCCAGCCACTCTGGGCGGCTCCCAATCAAGTGTTAAAAACAGTACAGCATTAAATATTAAAAACTTCCCTGAACAGGGCTGCCTTCAGATGTCTTTTAAAGAGAAGATAGCTGCTTATTTCCTTCACGTCTGAAGGGAGGGTGTTCCACAGGGCGGGCGCCACTACTGAGAAGGCCCTCTGTCTGGTTCCCTGTAACCTCGCAATGAGGGAACCGCCAGAAGTCCCTCGGTGCTGGATCTCAGTGTCCGGACTGAACGATGGGGGTGGAGATGCTCCTTCAGGTATACAGGACCGAGGCCATTTAGGGCTTTAAAGGTCAGCACCAACAGTTTGAATTGTGCTTGGAAACATACTGGGAGCCAATGCAGATTTCTCAGGACAGGTGTTGTCCCGGCAGCACTCCCAGTCACCAATCTAGCTGCCGCATTCTGAATTAATTGCAGTTTCTGGGTCACCTTCAAAGGTAGCCCCATGTAGAACGCATTGCAGTTGTCCAAGCGGCAGATAACTAGAGCATGCACCACTCTGGCGAGACAGTCTGCAGGCAGGTAGGGTCTCAGCCTGTGTACCAGATGGAGCTGGTGTACCAGATGCGCACCTGGTCCTTCAGGGGCACAGTTACCCCATTCAGGACCAAGGAATCCCCCACAACCGCCCGCCCCCTATCCCTCCAAAACAGTACTTCTGTCTTGTCAGGATTCAACCTCAGTCTGTTACATCATGGTAAGCAGCAGTGACACAGCCAACCAGAAGCGAGGTGAGCACAGCCACCCAACCATGCCATCTTCTGCAATTCAATAGTGATGCTTGACAGTCCACTGAGGACCTCTCTCTTTTTGTTGCTTTTCTGAGACTGCAAAATAAAGGAGGGCTTTACAGGGCAGGGCTGGCTGAATGCATTTGGCTTGGTGGGACATATATTCTGCAAAGGAATATCTTAAAACATTCGTTTAGCTTCAGCAGGCATCAACATCCTGAGAGATGAATGGGAGAATCATTGCTTTAATTTTCATACACTTCTGTAGATTTGAAACTGCACTTCATCAGAGATGAAAATGTTTGCCCATTGTACAAGAGTCCTCAATGCCTTAATGAGAGAAAGAATATCTAAATGCACTGTTTGGAAACATGTTATTCAGGAGCACTTAACACCAAGGATACAGCCTCTCCCCAATTAAATCTCACTGCTATGGCAAATGGAATTGCACAGATGTGTCACTATGTACAGTTTGTACTTCATGTGTCTGTCTTGGCACTTTAGATATTTTAAATGTATTTTAATAAGTCTGTCTGTTCCACAAAACTCCAGGGAGAAGCACCTTCCATACAAACTTCCTTTTAATTTCCTAACTCAAGCTGGGACCCCAGCTGGCCATTGTTTCTCTAGCCCAGATTTGGTCAGTAATTTATTTCTTAGTCTGAAAAGTAAGGCAAGAGTTGACCCAACAATGTTTTTATTTGCTTTTGATCTTGACCCACCCCAGCACTTTGCCTTAGAACTCTGTTTACCTAGCTCAGTTTTGTCCACTCTGACTGGCAATGACTCTCCTTCCTTGTAAGTTTTTAAGCAGAGGTTTGGATGGCCATGGATGCGTTAGCTGAAATTCCTGCATTGCAGGGGGTTGGACTAGATGACCCTCGGTGTCCCTTCCAACCCTACAAATCTATGTTTCTATTACTCTTTTTAGGATCTCAAATGAAGGTTTTCCCCACCATCTGCTATCTGATCCTTTTAGCTATACTGTAGATGCCAAAGATTGAACCTGAGACCTTTTGTTTATTGAACTTTTTGTTTATTGAACTTTCAAAGCTAACAGAAGGAAAAATAAGGGGGGGGAGAAAAAAATCATCATGCAGGATCAGTGCAGACATGGAACATAAATCTTAGCAATATTTTGCTGACTTAACAAGTACTTGCACATATTTGAAAAAGAAAATCCTACAGTAATTAGCAATATGCTGAACTCAAGAGGTGGCTCAAGCAAAGATGCTAATCTTAATTTGCTTGCTTTCTTACGTCTGCACCACATGAACAGAAATATAAGAGAAAAATATAATGAAAATATAAAAAATTAATAGAACTCTAATAAGAGTAAGGGGGAAATCAAATAGCATGAGTCTGTTAAATCTTGTTGGTTGTAATTTCATGTAACCCATACTTTAGCATAGACTGTATATTCATAGACAAAATGAAATCAGACAGCATTGCAAAAAGCCTGTCATTTTTACTACACAGCCTTAAAAAAAATTCTGCAGTCATTAGCAATACTTTTGAACTCAAAAGTAACCAAACAAAAATATTAATTTACTTTCTTTCTTATGTGTGCACCATTTTCTTTCTTATGTGTGCACCATTGATTAGAAATATAAGAATAAGAAAAAATATTATTAAATAGCATAAGTGCTAAATTTTGTCAATTGTATTTTCATGTAACCATACTTAAGCATAGGCTTGAAGAACCTTATTCATAAATAATATGAAATCAAACAAAAAGTCTAGCTTATTACAAAAAGCCTACCTTTTTTACTAGAACCCCTAGAGACTTGCAGTTTATGGGGATATTTTTTTTTCTTGCCAGACGCTTGAGGACCAATGGTCCAAACTGCCTAACTCAATATTTTTCTAAAGGTAAGGTACATTATTGCTGCCATCGAAAGGTGAGGGGTGAGTTCCTTGTTTTTAAGGTATTTAAGGCACCAGATGCAGAGATGAGACAAGAGTTTTATCTGCTGTTAGAGAAATCTCCTTAAACACCTTGTCCCATTATTCTGCAACATTAAGGAATCCCCACTACATTTGCTCCCAGGTATCCCCTGTTGGCAGCCCATCCAGCGAGCTTCTCAGATGCATAAGTGAAAGCTGGTATCATCACAGCAGGTGCAAAGGACATCTGCCTGTGGCCAAGTGCTTAGTACTGAGCTAGACATATTAAATATATTTACATTTCAAATAGATTTTTTAATATATCTACTGTTTTAAATCTATTACTTCTATTTTGGTTCAGAAAAAAACAACCAAAAAAGCAAGATAGAAATGAGCCTAATGATACTGATTATAACTTAGGTTTCTCTCTGCCAGGAGTGAAATGAATTCCATTTCCTGGTCTTGGCTTCTGCTTCTAACTTCTTTAATACTTGCTGGAACATCAGGTGGTTGGAGAACCAAGCTGCTTCAAGACCTTGTCCAACCACTGCAAGGGGCCATTCAGATGGATCTCAATCCAGCAGGGAACACTCGCGAGCGTCTGCCGCTTGTGTTCAAGTCCCCAGGGCTTGACGAAGCTCATTCGGATGATGCACATCTTCATCAGCTGGTAGACCGCTTCAAAGCCCCGGGTTGCAGCCTTGGACAAACTTTCACCAAATACGTCCTTACGGAAAATTTTCAAGTTGCATTCTTTTGGAATCTTGATAACAGTGTTCGGAAGCACTCCATAGCGCTGGTTACACATGAGAGACTGGACAAAAACGGGAGTCTTGCTAAGGCACTCCAGAGACACGTCCCCGTCTTCATAGCAGAGTCTCACTCCTTCCCTGATGTACATTCTGGCTTGCTCCACCTCAGAATCACGGTGGATATTGGTCTGCTGGCCTAAGCAGAAACGTTCAGCATTGATAGGGTCGGTACCGCCATCTACAATCACAGAGTGCTGGTAAGCATGGAAGCTCTCCCCAACCCGTTGGCCGAGCTCGTAGTAGGTGATGGAACACCAAAAGGCTGGTTCAGAGTACGGGACGGGCTTGATGTTCACATTACTGGGTGCAGGGATCACCAGAGCTTCAGGTGTTTCCTGCTGGCTACTACTACTAGTGCTGGCTGCTGAACTCTCAGGACGACAATGAAGCACAGTGGATGGTGTTTCTTCAAAGGTGCTGCTTTTACGGACAGAGGTGCTGCTTTTAGAGGTGCTCTTTTTAGGGACAGAGGTTCTCTTTTTAGGGACAGAGGTGCTGCTTCCAGGGTCAGAGGTGCTGCTTCCAGGGACAGAGGTGCTGCTTCTTCCAGAGACAGAGGTGCTGCTTCTTCCAGAGACAGAGGTGCTGCTTCTTCCAGAGACAGAGGTGCTGCTTCCAGGGACAGGGACAAAGGTGCTGCTTCTTCCAGGGACAGAGGTGCTGCTTCCAGGGACAGGGACAAAGGTGCTGCTTCTTCCAGGGACAGAGGTGCTGCTTCCAGGGACAGAAAGGCTGCTTCCAGCAGGGACAAAGGTGCTGCTTCTTCCAGGGACAGAGGTGCTGCTTCCAGGGACAGGGACAAAGGTGCTGCTTCCAGGGACAGAGGTGGTGCTTCCAGCAGGGACAAAGGTGCTGCTTCTTCCAGGGACAGAGGTGATGCTTCCAGGGACAGGGACAAAGGTGCTGCTTCCAGCAGGGACAAAGGTGCTGCTTCCAGGGACAGGGACAAAGGTGCTGCTTCCAGCAGGGACAAAGGTGCTGCTTCTTCCAGGGACAGAGGTGATGCTTCCAGGGACAGGGACAAAGGTGCTGCTTCCAGCAGGGACAAAGGTGCTGCTTCCAGGGACAGGGACAAAGGTGCTGCTTCCAGCAGGGACAAAGGTGCTGCTTCTTCCAGGGACAGAGGTGATGCTTCCAGGGACAGGGACAAAGGTGCTGCTTCCAGCAGGGACAAAGGTGCTGCTTCCAGGGACAGGGACAAAGGTGCTGCTTCCAGCAGGGACAAAGGTGCTGCTTCTTCCAGGGACAGAGGTGATGCTTCCAGGGACAGGGACAAAGGTGCTGCTTCCAGGGACAGGGACAAAGGTGCTGCTTCCAGGGTAAAAGGCGCTGCTTCCAGGGACATGGGTGCTGCTTCTTCCAGGGACAGAGGTGCTGCTTCCAGGGACAGGGACAAAGGTGCTGCTTCTTCCAGGGACAGAGGTGCTGCTTCCAGGGACAGAAAGGCTGCTTCCAGCAGGGACAAAGGTGCTGCTTCTTCCAGGGACAGAGGTGCTGCTTCCAGGGACAGGGACAAAGGTGCTGCTTCCAGGGACAGGGACAAAGGTGCTGCTTCCAGGGACAGGGACAAAGGTGCTGCTTCCGGGGACATGGGTGCTGCTTCCAGGGACAAAGGTGCTGCTTTCAGGGACAAACGTGCTGCTTTCAGGGGGAAAGGTGCTGCTTTCAGGGGGAAAGGTGCTGCTTTCAAGGGAAAAGGTGCTGCTTTCAGGGGAAAAGGTGCTGAAATCAGGGAAAATGAGGCTGATATCAGGAAAAAAGTTGCTGCTTTCAGAGCCAGAGGTGCTGCTTTCAGGGCCAGAGGTGCTGCTTTCAGGGAAAAAGGTACTGAAATCAGGGAAAATGAGGCTATCAGGGAAAAAGTTGCTGCTTTCAGGGCCAGAGTGATGCTTTCAGGGCCAGAGGTGATGTTTTCAAGGGCCAGAGGTGCTGCTTTCAGGGCCAGAGGTGCTGCTTCCAGGGGAAAAGGTGCTGCTTCCAGGGGAAAAGGTGCTGAAATCAGGGAAAATGAGGCTGATATCAGGGAAAAAGTTGCTGCTTTCAGGGACTGAGGTGTTGCTTCCAGGGCCAGAGGTGCTGCTTTCAAGGCCAGGTGCGCTGCTTCCAGGACCAGAGGTGCTGCTTCCAGGGGGAAAGGTGCTGCTTCCAGGGGAAAAGGTGCTGAAATCAGGGAAAATGAGGCTGATATCAGGGGAAAAGTTGCTGCTTTCAGGGCCAGAGGTGCTACTTTCAGGGCCAGAGGTGTTGCTTTCAGGGCCAGATGTGTTGCTTCCAGGGCCAGAGGTGCTGCTTCCAGGGACAGAGGTGCTGCTTCCAGGGCCAGAGGTGTTGCTTCCAGGGCCAGAGGTGCTGCTTTCAGGGACAGAGGTGCTGCTTCCAGGGACAGAGGTGCTGCTTTCAGGGCCAGAGGTGCTGCTTCCAGGGACATAGGTGCTGCTTTCAGGGACAAAGGTGCTACTTCCAGGGAGAAAGGTGCTGCTTTCAGGGCCAGAGGTGCTGCTTCCAGGGCCATAGGTGCTGCTTTCAGGGACAGAGGTGCTGCTTCCAGGGACAGAGGTGCTGCTGCTTCCAGGGACAAAGCTTGCCTGGAGGTTAGAGTTTCCTGGAGCATGGTAGCTGTGATCCTCCAAGGAAGGATATGAAGCTGGAGCTTCTGGCTGTATTGGCGGGTCCACTGGAGCACTGGAGCTCTGGAGCAATGTGAATACTGGCTCGCTGATGCACTTTTCCACTTTCTCAAAGTGATACGGATTCACACAGACTTTAGACTTTTGTTTTTTATAGGCGTTTGCACACGTCTCCATGCTACGCAAATCATCGTGGCTTTGCACCTCTGGCCATCGCCACAGCCGGCAGAAGAGAGTGTGTGGGAAGTTATTTCCGCAGGATGCATACATCTGTTCAAACAGAGGTCTGGTGATAGTGATGCACTTGGTGCCAGGATTCTGAGTGGAGATAGCCTTCTCCAGCTCCCCCAGCTGCTTACTGAGGTGGGTCTTCCTCACCAAGGTCTTGACAGCATTCTCGTACACCTTGCCCTCCTGCTCGTTGAAAGTAAGCATCTTCCAGGCCAGCAGGCGTTTGACGGTGGCGGCAGCGAAGAACGGGGGGGACATGGCTGCTTCGGACCCACAAGCAAATGGGGAGACTTGTCAAGCAGCAAAGGGAAAACGAGAGGAAACAGGAGGGGTGACTTGCCTGCTTCTCTTATTCCAGAGGCACCCGGATAGCAGTGAAGACCAGTCGCGGCTAGGAGATGGGACAGTGCCGAGAGGGGCGAGGGCGCTGCAGCTGCAGCTACAACACCTGTCTCACGCCTCAAACTTTCTCCCGACTTCTCTCACTCCTCTGTGAAGGCGCCTCTGTCGGCAGAGCCAAAAGCTGCTACTAAAACCTCTGCCGGACCCTCCCCCTCATGACCTGGTATCCTATCAGCATCCCTTGGATGCTGCCCTGCAAAGGATCCTGGGAAGTGTAGTTCCTTAAAGATTCTTCCCAAAGAATCCTGTGAGAGTAAATTACAGTTCTCAATATTCTTTTTGGGGGTTGCTTTGAATGTATGGTGTGTACACAATGTTAAGTTCTGCTTGTGGCAGATGAGTTGGACTTAATAGACCTAAGCTAAGCCTGTCCAATAACTTCCGTGGGTCTACTCTTGAGTATGACTAACTTTGGATGCAACACCTAGTGGTTAACACTTTCCACACCCACCAGTTCTCCCCTACAAACGCTCCCTTGAAAGTTTTGAAATTGTTTCCCCCTCAGATGTACACAGAAATGGATCTCAGGGTGATAGAAATCTGTCAGGCTGAATGCCCTTGTATGAGCAAATGGGCGAATGTGGGAAGATTCAAGAACCCCCCTCATCTCCTGCTGATACTCTCTCCGGTAAACACTTACAGCCTCTGCATTCACATTGGCTGGCAGACATGTTGAAAACGCAAGTTTGCTGGTATAATGTTTAGAATTTGTCCAAAGATCCTGAGGTGCCATTTCCCCATCCTTTGCATGTACAGACAGCACGTTGGAGCATTGTGGGGAATAAGAGGTCTGTTTGCACCTCTCATGCCCCTGCCCAATAGAATTGTCCATCCTCAGCCTAATGACAGTGTTGGTGGTGGAGTGTGTGTGTTCATCCAGGACCATAGAGTGAGAATAATTCAATCCTCACAGCCACCACCATCCAGTCATAAAATCATAGAAGGGCCCCAAAGGGTCATCTAGTCCACCCCCTGCAATACAGGACTCTCAAGTAAAGCATCCATGACAGATGGCCATCCAACCTCTGCTTAAAAACCTCCAAGGAAGGAGAGTCCACCCACCTCCCAAGGGAGACCATTCCACTGTGGAACAGCTCTTACTGTCAGAATGTTTTTTCTGAATGTTTAGTTGGGATCTCCTTTCTTGTAACTTGAAGCCATTGGTTTGAATCCTACCCTCCAGTTCTGCCCTCCGTGTGCTGCTCTTGTTCACCAGAAGCGGCTTAGTCATGCTGGCCACATGACCCGGAAGTTGTACGCCGGCTCTCTCGGCCAATAAAGTGAGATGAGCGCCACAACCCCAGAGTCGGTCACGACTGGACCTAATGGTCAGGGGTCCCTTTACCTTTATCATATCTCTTCTCGGTCTCCTCTTTTCCAGGCTAAACATACCCAGCTCCTTCAAGCGCTCCTAGTAAGGCTCAGTTTCCAGACCCTTGATCATCTTGGTCACCCTCCTCTGCATACATTCCAGCTTGTCAATATCCGTCTTAAATTGTGGTGCCCAGAATTGGACACAGTATTCCAGGTGTGGTCTGACCAAGGCAGAATAGAGTGGTACAATTACTTCCCTTGATTTGGACACAATAATTCTGTTGATGCAGCCTGCATTATCCTTTTTTTGCTGCTGCATGACACTGTTGACTCACATTAACCTTGTGGTCCACCAAGACCCCTAGATATTTTTCACATTTACTGCCAGTAACCCAGGTGTCCCCCATCCTATTTTTGTGCATCTGGTTCTTCCTACCTAAATGCAAGGGACAGCGGGTGGCGCTGTGGGTAAAAGTTGTTCGGTCCCAGCGCCTGCCAACCTAGCAGTTCGAAAGCACTCCCGGGTGCAAGTAGATAAATAGGGACCGCTTACTAGCGGGAAGGTAAACGGCGTTTCCGTGTGCGGCTCTGACTCGCCAGAGCAGCGATGTCACACTGGCCACGTGACCCAGAAGTGTCTCCGGACAGCGCTGGCCCCCGGCCGCTTGAGTGAGATGGGCGCACAACCCTAGAGTCTGTCAAGACTGGCCCGTACGGGCAGTGGTACCTTTACCTTTACCTAAATGCAGAACCTTACATTTATACCTATTGAAATTCATTTTCACCCAGTGAAGTTCAATTCACCCAGTTCTGCAATCTGTTAAAGTCATTTTGAATTCTGATTCTGTCTTCTGTGGCATTAGCTACCCATCCTAGTTTGCTGTCATCTGCAAATTTGAAGAGCATTCTCTCAATTCCTTCATCCAAGTCATTTATAAAGACGGTGAACAACAATGGGCCCAGGACAGAACCCTACAGCATCCTGCTTGTCACTTCTTTCCAGGATGAGGGGCCATTAATGAGTACTCTTTGGGTTCAGGCAGTCAACTAGCCACAAATCCAAATCAAAGGTCTTACTGAAACCAAGATAAACTATGTCCACAGCAGTTCACTTATTCACCTAGTTTGTAATTCCATCCAAAAAAAGAAATCTGATTGGTCTGGCATGACTTATTTTTGAGAAACCCGTGCTGGGTCTTAGTAATCACAACATCCATTTCTAAATGCTCAGAAACTGACTGTTGAATAATCTGTTCTAGGACCTTTATTGATGTCAAACTCACCAGTCAGTAGTTAACCCTTTCCCCCTTTTTGAAGATGGGGACAACATTTGCCTGCCTCCAGTCTGTAGGGACCTCACCTGTTCTCCAAGAATTCTCTTCTCAATTCTCAGCTCATCTGTAAGCTCCTTAATGCAGCCACACTGATTTCCTTAGATGCCTCCCCCTTTTATTTCTTGTTGGTATTGCCTGCTTTGGGGCTTTCAATATTTCTCCTTTTAGAAACTCCAATCCTTCTTAGACTCCCTTCTCTTTGATATTTCTGACCATGGGATCACACCCAGTAGCTCATTAAGCTTCTTGAAATCACTGTTGCCCTAAACTTGCCCTTTGGGGTGGAGGGTAGTAGAATGGGTATACTTCATTGCTTTACACAAAATTAACAACGCCTGTAGTTTGCCCCTTAAAAATAGACTTTGGTCAGGATGGTGAAAATGTCCTTGCTGTGCTGTAGTAAATCAGCCTCTGTAAAAGGCAGTGGTGGCCACCAACCTGGATGGCTTTAAAAGAGGATTAGGGCAGTTTATAACAATTAAAATACAATATTGATATTAAAACACAATGTTAAATTATATTAAAAACTGTTTCCAACAACTTAACATTTCAAAAATAAGATGGACCCTAAAAATACATTTAAACCTTAGAAATCCTGATTGGAGAGAATGGGAGATTACACAGAAACACACACACACACACACACACGACCAATGCAAACAGCAGGAATTGGGACTGAAGTGGGGCAAAGTGTTAAAGCCAACTATCTACATCAGGACCCCAGTCCAGATCAGGACTCCTGCTCCTGCAATTCTGCAACATGCTTTGGAAAAGTGAGCTGCTAGGCTTGTTGCCTAACAACTCACTAGGCTAGTTGTTGTGGTTGTGAGATTTTGTGGGAGTCTGCTTTCATCTGGCTGCATATCAAGGCCCCATGACCACCTTGTTCCCTAAGGTGAGAATAACTAGACAACACATGACATATTGGTTTTGGGGATCAAGTGAGACTTTACTGGTTACAGATGTGAGGTTTGACCAAAGGCATTGTGGTAAACAATGGCTCATGTCACTCCTGCTCGTCCACTGGCTGGTGGGTGGAGGGGGGGATCGCTCTATGACCTACGTCAAATCAGGGTGTCCCCCAAGCAGTCACCATTGGAGGAGTAGTATGGCCCTAGCCCCCATCTGGGCATTGGGCAGGAGCCACTCCTCCCAGATCCTTTTAACAGGATACCCTTAGCCAAGGAGGGGCAGGCGGATGCTACAACCTCCCTTCCAACCAAGACTAGGCATACCCAATGCATACCCACCTCTCAAAGTTGTGGCGATCCTACTGTAGCTCAGTCTGTTAGAGGCTGCATCCAATCTTAGTCCTATTCTGAGTAGATTCTTTGAAATTAATGGACAATACTTAATTTAAGCTCATTAATTACAGGGGGTCTACTCTGAGTAGAACTTAGTTGGAAGCAACTCTAGGATTTATATCCTGCTTTTGTTGTGGTTGATCATAAGACTACAGAGCATGTGTAATCCAATCCATCCATTATTTCTCGAACATGTGGTCCCACACTGTTCCCATAACTGCAACAAGAAACTGTCTCAACATTCAGTGGCCCACATCATGGCTCCCTTTTTACAGACCTTGCCAGAGAGTGGTTTGTGTCCAGAATTTAGGGAAACTCACACTTCCTTAGTAAGGTATGTATTGGGTCAACATCTCTCATAAATAGCTTGGGACTTTCTAGCTTGTTTGAATTTCTCTCCTTTTTTCTTTTGTTTCTTTCCTTCTTTTGAATATAAGACAAGGGAAACAAGCCAAAGTATTTTCAAAGTGCACGTATCATGTGGCCAGTAGATACTTGAAGATGGCTATCATATCTCTTCTCAGCATAGCTGTCAACTTTTCCATTTTTTAAGGGAAATTCCCTTATTCCGAATAAGATTCCTTGCAAGAAAAGGGAAAAGTTGACAGCTATGCCTCTCAGTCTCCTCTTTCCCAGGCTACACATATGCAGCTCCTTCAACCATTCCTCATAAGGCTTAATTCCCACACCCCTAATCATCTTGATCGCCTTTCTCTGCACACGTTCCAGCTTGACAATATTATTCTTAAATTGTGGCACCCAGAACTGGACACAGTGCTCCAGGTGTGATCTCACCAAGCCCACATGAGGTTCTGTTTATGCTAGTCGTAAGAAGGAAAGCCATTTTATATATCTATAGAGCTTTCCCGTGCCACCAGATCAGAGATAAAAGTGACTGTAGATAATTTCTACATGCAACAGTGCAGAAAACTGCATTGTGATCTCTTTTGACACACCACTGTACAAAGGGATTACCTGTGTATCACAACTACCTTGCTAGAAATTCTCTGCAAATATACTGGATAATCCAATCTTATTCATCAGCTGGATGCATAGGTGAAGTGGAATGGGAGTGGATGAGCAGAAAAACATTCATCTGCACTGGCTGAAACAGAGGCATTCTTTCTGTTAGTTCAATAAGCAACCTTTGAGTGCAATCTTTCTCCTCCACCTTAAATCTATTGCAAAGCTACTGCAAGCTGACTAAAGGTACTCACCAGAAAAAAAGAAAAAGAAAAAGAAAGAAAAAAAAAGGGGTGGAAAAAAATGGGGAGAATTGAACCACTTTGTTTCCATGGAGTTTATTTAACAGTGTGTGCCGATTACTCAAAGCGATATGGGCAGGACCTGGTGATCTAGCGATGCTCTAGAATTTTAACTTTTAAGGGGTTTACGATTCCAGTTTGCCTGCAGTACGAGATAATTTCTTTTGACATTTGTGGCCAGGAACCCTGCTTTATCGCTTTGTATAGTTTTAAAGTAGTTTAAAGCTTGAATAACATAAAATAACATAATATAATGTTATTTATGTTATTTCCCACGTGAAGAACTCCTGTAAACCTTGCAGTATTGAAACTCAGTGAACAAGGCATCTTAGACAAGCTGAAAAACAAATGGTGGTACGATAAGGGTGAATGTGGCGCCAAGGACTCGGGAAGTAAGGTCAGTCGCTGAAGGTCTTTTTGTACTGATTAGCAATCACATATATATTTATATATATATATATTTTTGACCCGCTGTTTTATTTTATACCAAAGTTATTCTCCAAAGTTAACTATTTACATTCTAAAGCATTGAGGAAAACACACCCCATCCCCGTCAAAAAAAAAAAAGGGCAGGGATTTTTATTTATTTTTTATTTTTAAGAGAACTCTATTTTTTAAAAAAACTCAGTAAAAATGACAGCCTTTTTCTTTTGCAGTATCAAAGGCGCTAGTTGTAAGTACATTTTTTTATATATATACTCAGGTTGACCCCTCCCTCAAAAAAAAATCTCAAACTGGTATCTCTACTTTAATATATACCTACAGAAGTTCCGTTTGAGTCCATGT